AAATCTTGCTTAAAAAACCGCTCAAAAACCGCTCAGTTCTTGCGGTGATTTTTGAACGGTTTTTCAAGCAAGATTTGAGCGGTTTTTGAGCGGTTTTTGAGCGGTCTTCCCGGGTCGAGGTCCCACACTCAACGTTTCTCTTCTCTGCAAAACTCGAACGAACACGTTCATCCAATATGTAATTTTCCAAAAAGTGCCCAAAAACAGCATTTTTGACCAGCTCTTCACGTCAACAACCCCACCCCCCCCCCCCCCCTCCGCCCCAACTTACCCCCCCCCCCGCCAACGTACTCCCTCCCCCCAACGTACCCCCTCAAGGTATGCAACATCCAACAAACCCCCCCACCAACGTAAGAGGTGGGGGGGGGGGGGTTGGTGTGCGATCTTATAATCGATTATTTTTGTTATTTTGTAGAGATGACAATAAAAATCCTGACAGTATATTTGTTGTGCATGTCTAAAACATTGAACATATTCAGTAGAACAAATACAGCGAATATTAAGCTTCCAGCAAGTACGCATAGACTAACGGATAAGGCGTCTGACTTCGAATCAGAAGATTGCGGGTTCAAATCCCTCCGTGGTCGACTTTTTATTATTAAATCTTGCGCGGTTTTTGAGCGGTTTTTTAAGATAAACCGCTCAAAACCGTTCAAATCTTGCGCGGTTTTTGAGCGGTTTTTTTAGATAAACAGTTCAAAAACCGCTCAAACCGCTCAACTTGAAGCAAGGTTTTGAGCGTAATTATCTAAAAGAACCGCTCAAACCGCTCAAATCTTGCTTCAAATTAGGTGAAAAATCTCGACTCGGGCCGATGGTAGAGGGGACAACTTGCGTTAAGTTTCCGAGGTATACGATAACAACAAAAGTGTCAATGTGATTTTCTTTCTGTAAATGTGATGGGAAAAGCTGATGCAGCGATGCAATGATTCGAATAAGTACTCTCAAGTTTCAGAGCAGGAGACTGTAAACTTGAGTTACTCGAGACAATTATCGTTGAACCAGACGTGATTTGAAGTTCTTTATGCAAATTACATTAAAATAGAAAAAAAACTAACACTGATTTTCTCGTTGCAATTATACAAATGACATAAAAACAGGCAGTGTAGAATTTTAGTGTAGTTTATAACATGTATTAACAAAATTGTACTCATTTGAAATGAACCTAAATATTTCCAAGATACTTCACCATAAGTCACTTGGCCTGGGTCCTTCTTCAATTGATCAAAAAAAGATTATTGTAACTAATTTTAATCGTTGTACCAATCGTAGAAACAATATCGCTTACGTATTTGAATGGGCTGTTGCTGTGTAGCAGAATGCTTTTCCCAATAACACTAAAATCGATTATCTTTTTGTGAGAGCGTTTGAAACATTCTCAGTTCGAGGATGATAGTGAAAGTCTGAGTTTGGTAAGTCTAGACCATTGTTCCGAATTAAAAGCGGGTTTCTGCTGAGAAGTGAATTGTTTACATTATGTCGATATTCTATAACTAAGAAAAAACCTAATTGGTAATATGCCAATGTACGCTTCAAGTTCCGCAGAAGAACCAAATTTGCGTTTATAAAAGCATGCTTTGACGGCCCACTTCAGTTGCTTTTCAAGTGTTATGATAAGATGTGATCTCTTGTTGCAAGGAATATCGCCATATACTGTAAATGACTTAAGACCAAGGCATTGATTAGCATGGTTCTCTTTTTTTGGGATATAACCTCCGACAGCATATAGGGCTTCCGTACCCAGTGTAAGAGTAGCTGATTGACATTTTCTTGTTTTGTCAGATTGTTGTCAAAATTACAGATAAAAGTTTTTCTTTCTTTTCTTTCTGTTTTTTGGCTGACCATCAATCTTTTTTTTTAAATTAATATTATAATTTCTTTTTTGTGCGATTTAGTTTCTTGTGGAAACGAAAGCAATCGAGTAAGTTTCTTACCGAATCTTCAAGTTTTCTGATGCAAATTTCTAGATTTTTCCACTCAAAAGAAAATTATATCCTCTGCGTTTTGTATAATATGGCAATCTGAGGTGATTTTTATGTCTTTCACGAATAGGTTAAAAGAAGAGACCATAGCGGCGGGCCTCTACTTAAAACAATCCATTTGGATTAAGCATCTGTTATCACAACCATTTGATACCTATTACTTAATTAGCTATTTATAAGATCAATAGACAACTCTCGTAACCTATACTTTGTAGTTTTCAGTTTATTTCGAAAATCTTTTAAATCGAAGGCTTTCATTTAGTCTAGTAGTGCGGCTGTTACAAACTCAACTTGATCAAAATTAGCTCGAGTTGATTCAGTCAAACATACTAGAGCATCCATGGTTGAATAATTTTACCGTAAACCAAATTAAGTTGGGTTAAGAATTTTATTTCGTGTAAGATAATCCATCAATTGAAATTCAATCAATTTTTTAAGAAATGTATTGATCTGTGAATGATTTTGCACTGTAAATGAGTGGATCTTCAGTGCATCCCTTTTTATATAGTGCTGATGTTCGCCAGCTTACGCAGATACCGAAAAGTATTTGTTTTTATGCATTCATTGATTGAAAGATTAACCAGTTGCGATAGCTCATAAGCCGCATCTTTGAATGCCCAAGCTGGAAAAGGAAAAGGAGCCAAGGGATTTATTTATTCAAAGCAAGAAAAAAATTTTACCTTCATTTGATGAGACGGAAAGAAACAGAATTTGGTATTGCTTCCGGGTTGGTGAATAAATTAAAAAAACTTGGTGGAAAAACAAATTCGCCAACTTTCCTGACTCTTAAGGCTCATCTACGATACAATTAAAAACAATTCCTGAGACTTTCCATATTTGTTGATATTATTTTGTTCCATAAATTGTCGTTAACGTTCCACTTAGACCTTTCGAACGATGCTGGGTCAATTAACTGTTGGTGAAATTTTTCAAAGCCATTGACATAGTTTTTATTTGAAGCCGTTTTTGTTTCCTGAAATTTGTTGAAGCTAATAAAGTACAAGTAATTAGCTTTTTTAATAGTCAGTTATTTAGTCCTATTTGACACCCGCTTACATGCCAGGAATAACAACGGTTTGTCATGACGCAAAAAAAAATTGGTTCAATAGAGAGTGCATCTTGATAATTGACCGAACTGTTTTATCGAATTGCGAATACATATCATTGGGACAGATAATTCCGTTCAAAAACTATCAACTCTGTTAGTTCACATCTTCTCTGTAGTTCTTTTGACAGTTACGTTTTTTCAAATCAAAAACAGTTTTTATCTTGGAGTTGTGTTTGCCATTTTACTGTGCACAAAAAAACGCAACAATGGGAAAATGCTCGTTTTGTATTGGGCTTTCAAAGACATGAGAAGACAGTGAGAGTAAATTTTTTTAATCATAATGAATTCAAAATTTTTCTCAAGTTCTTGTCGCAGCAGCGAGTCGCAACAACTTATTCAGCACCTCAACTCCGTAGGGGCATAATATGGTATCTTAATTTTGTTTCTCTGATTTGGTTAAATAATTTCAGTTAAGGTCTCTCATTATGATTATTTTTGATTTAATACTGATGCCAGGTCAATCGATTTTGCAAAATCTTGATTAAAATTTTTGTACATCTGTTTATGCAGATAAAATGGTAACTTAAATAGGAGGGGGTCTTTTATCAGTTTGTGGTTTTCTTTGATCATTAGAAATTCAAAATTTGAGTTCACAGGGATCAGATCATTTCTCACTCTCACATTTAAAGCTTTCAGAACTAGAAAAAAGACACCGACCCCCACCTTTTGATGTTTTTCTATCTCTATGTTCTACCTAAAACAGTTTTCGTCAGGGTTAAAAAGTTTTGAAGTGTCCTTATCAGTTAGCCAGGTTTCGGTGAAACTGTACATACAATTTTTCTTAATATATAATTGATTAGGTATTCGAACTGGAGTTGTTTGTTTGCAATGCTTCTGCAATTCAATTGAAATAGTTTTAAATTTTTATGCACAACATTACACCGTTCGAAAAATATCCAATATGCATCTGGGACGGGAATAAGTTCTATGTCACCTGATAGAGGCATGAAAGTATAAAGTAAAAGGCTGGCCGGTCCTCCAAAAAGATAAGGCAATTTGTTGTAATAAAGGCTAAATCTGATTCTTAAGTTCTGCGTGTTTTGAGATTTTATTTGTTATGTCATCAGAAAAATCGAGACCATCGGCTTGTGAATAGTTAAAACCATTATTAGTCCAATAATTTACAGAACAAAAAACAAAAAATTAAAGATACTTTTTAAATAAATTAACAAAAAGAGCTTTCACTTAACAAAATTAATTTTCACGTAACAGCCTCAGTAGTAGTTTTGGTGGTTCCGATCATTTGGACGGTGACTGTAGTTTGAATTGTGATTATTGGGAATTCATGCAAAGTCGAGTCAGTGTAGACTATCGAATAGGCTACGTAAAGCGCGGAATTAGTGGAACTCTAACGATCTTACAGAGTCCGTTAACCAACACTATAATATCGAAATCCTGCATGCACCACCATATCTGCTCGAAAACCTTTCGAGACAATGTAATAACATGAACGGTCATTAGATTTACTTCTAGTTAAAACATCTTCGACCGACATAAAGTATTATACTAGAAGTAATAAATTTTGAAAAAGTTTTGAGTATTTTACTGATTGTATTCGCAAAAATTTGATTTAGTTCCAACTATAAGTATGAAGTTTTGTTGTTCAACTTCTTCTTTCAATTGGGCTGTAAAAATCAGATAAGACAGCTTGAAAAAATATTGAAGCTCCATGTAGAGCGAATTCTCCGGTTTAAAATAAATAACCTCTCAGAAAAAGGGAAACAACTTATCTCCTAGGCTTCAAGACGTTTCAGTTCAAATTTAATGATGCGTAGCCATACAGAAGAACAGGGCGGACCTTCGCCTTATTTGTTCGCCTTTCTGTCCTCATAAAAACTCTCAAACTCAGATGTTCGGTTTATTGTATTTCTAATCAATAAATAACAAAGAATAACAAAGAAACCGCTCACCCCTCTGAATAATAAATGCTCAAATGAATGACTAAAATCAAGGTTTTATTAAACCATTCAAAGCGCGTTTTTTGTTTTGGTGAATGATAAATAAATTCTTACGCCGGTGGCTCCATTTCCAATAACTGATTTCATATACAATTTTTATGTTTTAAAAAGATGGTTTTTGTTCCACTCGGTGACGCAATGGAAAAAGCACTGCTGATGTTCTGAATGCAACATTGAGCATAACAAATATATCCTTCAGGACGCTAAGAAATATATATTTCACGTATCACTTTAGAAAAAAAACACACTTTTAAGATCAAATTTGACAAGCGGAGGTCATGCCTGTTTTAAGCTTGCCACGCATGAGATGCGACACATTTTTTAAAATTAACTTCTAGCTACCATAACGGGAATAATTTTTAACTTTTGAACTAATTGATTAGAAAATTCAACCTCCTCTCGGGACTTTAAACTACTACATCGAAATTTATACAACGTTAGCCTAATTGGAATTTTTTTGTAAATTTATCTCTTTTACTGCTCAAGTAAGTCGATATTACAAATTGTTTAAGACGTTTAATTGACAGTGAATTTCCATTTCCTACTTCGAAACTGGCAAAAAAGCATCTGATTTATATTTAGTTAAAAGCCACATTCCCGAGCTGTAAATGTTTATCGAAGCATTTACAACATTCTTCTCCAAAGCGTATAAAAACAACGCAATTACACCAGTAAAAATTACGCCGCCTCCGAAAACTCGCTTTTCATCAAAATTTTTAAAAAGAAATTTGCGCTTCTCAGAAAATACCAGTTTTGTGCATTATTTCTAGCAACTATTTCAACCAAAGGAAATTGTCATTATTCGATTTAAAAAATCAAATCATCCCAAAGTTGTGCTACATCATTAATGATAACACCTTTTTACCTACAGAAAATCCTATTTTGGAAGAGAATCTTCAAATTGTATTTCTTAGAACGGTAAGCTTCATCAAATTTTGTTCAACCTTCGACAGGTTTGAAATCTTATCAAGTTTTCGGTACAGAAAAACAAAGGAGATAAAAACGGGCAACAACCCCGGTAGTGGTACTAAGCTTACTTTTCGACTTTAAAACTCGAGAGGTGACGTGACGGCTTATTGGCTGAAAATCTGCGGTCGAGAAGCAATTTTATGTCAAACTCAAAATGGAAACATGAAATTTTGGTCGAGAAAGTCAACACATAAGTCGAGCATGGTTGAAACATAGGTCGAGCCAGGAGCGGATTTAGGGGGGACGCCTAGCCCCCTCAGGGACTCGATACCATTACCAACCAAAAATTCCTCCCTTTGGTATTATTTAAAGACATATATTTTCGGCTAATCAACCGTAAAATTTTTTAATGGGGGCCTTGGGCGTCACTATATAATATTTTTGAAGGGGGCGCGCCGAAAAGACCGCACTTTTTTTTGATAAAAATTTTCTGAAAAAAGCCCAATAACGTTTTTTTACCTCTTTTTTCAAAAATTTGCTTGCTGCGCGAATTCTTTTGTCAACAAAAGGCTTTTTAAAAAGTGTTCTGATGTTTTAAGAAACGGCTAGGATAAACCATTTTGTCGACTTAAAAAAGTGTCGTCAAAAGTTTTGATAATTTTTGAAAAACCACCCCTGCCCCATCGAGAAGATCCTAGATCCGCCCCTGGGTCAAGCAACGACTAGTTTTAATCATTTAAATTGCTTATTTACCTGTGCGTAGCGTATAAGCGACAAAATGGGTTTCTATTTACGCGTACCGACTCAAAATATTTGAATTGAAACATGATTTGAATTGAAACATGATATAAGGACTAATTATTACGCTATTAGACTTTAAATTTGTCATTTTGTACTTTAATATAGGGATAATCTAAACAATTCAAACCATTTTCCTTATTTTTTCAAAATTTTCAAAGTTTTTTGGATCCGAAACTACTTTATTGACTTTAAAGAGCAGTAGCATCACAAATTCGCCCTGATACTGTGGTACTGCTGCCACAGTAACCTTGAGATGTTATGTTTTTTTTATGGATACCCATTATTGTTATTATATTCTCAAGGTCAATATGTGCCGATCTAAAACATTCATGACTGTTAGTCAATCTTCTATATAGAGACACGGATCTCAGTAAAGCATACTATAGAAATGCTCAAAAAAAGACATTAGAACAGTCTAAATTTATTATTGAAACCTCATCTGTTTTCACTTAAAATCAACGTTACTCTTCACGGTATCACATGGCGCTGCCAGCAGGGTTTATGTCTCAGGACAACAGGACTGCGCATTATGACCCGCAATTTGTGATCAATTCTTACTGGCAGTCACGGTGAAGGAAAACGTAAGCCCAGATATATTGTTAGAAGATCCGAAGTCAGTCTTAGACGAACCGGTTTCAAGACCAGATACGCCACGAACGAATGAAGATGCGCAGGAAGTTACAGATAGGGAAGTAGGCGACGAATTGACTCGAGACAAAATTCGGCTAAAGATTGAAGCGACAAAGAGAAAGAGGGCCTAAAGTCGTCCACATTTACCACAACGAAGTGCAGGAGCGACTCGCATAAAAAAAACGATTTGCCCAGAACAACCTACATGCGGAAGTATCTAAACTTGAGCTTCGAGAAAGGGTGGGGTTGGCCAAAGCTTTCTTGGAAAAAACACAGAGCGTCACGTATGAGCGGTACAAACTGTTTAAAAGATCACAAGAAACAGGAATCGAAACAAGAATTGAAACTGTGGAATCATTTCACAAGAAACAAGAAATGAAATCCTGGAATTTTTTCATGCGGCTCTAACTGCACATGCAGCAAAAGCAGAATTGGGTACATTTGAAGACGAGTTAGCTAGAGACCTATTCATATCAAAAATGAAGAGCACAGTAATACAAGATACTTCAATTTTCTAAAAATTCCCAACGGGCGTTAAAGTATTAAAGAGAGCTCTAAAGTTCAAACAAAGTAAACAGACGACACAGGCTTTTCAAAGGTAAAAAGCCACTACTGCAAGTTCAAGACATTTTAATGGTACTCAAATCAAGATAAAACAAGAACCTATCATGGCAGTAGGTAATAAAGGTCCAAACAATAGAAGCAGTACGTGGAACTATATAAACGAGGAACAAACGAAACAAAAAACAACGTTAATTCCGGAGCAGAAGGGAAACCATGTACTAGATGTGGACGATCGTTTATTGATGGTCATTTGAAGAATTGTCCAGCAATGGGGAGGACGTGTAAGAACTGTAATAAGCCGAACCAGGAGTGCAGCCAGTATTTAGACAGCCGCGTATTCATACTCGTCTGTATTTAGCCAAATACTGTATGAACCAATCAGAATCGAGAAAAGACATAAATAATCTGAAATAAATCATAATTATTTATTAATTTCCTCTTTGTCTCGATTCTGATTGGTTGAAATAGTATTTGTCTAAATACTGACATGTAACCGCCCAACCACTTCGCTAAAATGTGCCGTTCACAACAAAAAAATGAAGTTAACGAAGACACTACAAGTTCAGACAATGAAGGTAATCTGATTCAAAGTTTTCACTCTTGCAACAATTTTGAAATTATGTCAACCGAATGCAATTTCACATCATTTGCTCAAACTGAGAAATTCGTGGAAAATAGAATAGAAATTAAGCATGTTACACCGTCAGATTTGGAGGAAAACGAAAACATTAAAAAAATTAGTATACACAGCAAACAAAATTGCTCACAAGGTGCTGGTCAGAATTGATAATCAAATCATAGACATGACCTTAGATACGGGTAGCCCGGTATCTTTCCTACATTGGGCAACGGGAAAGCAGATACAAGAAGTATCAAAAAACACGAAGTTCATACCAGCGGAGAAATTAAACCTGTCGGCACAGTTCGTAGACTAAAAGAAAGCACCCACTCACAATACTTGGAGCGCTTACAGCAGACATGCACTCATCAGCGGGATGAGAAAAAGTAAGAGGATCGTCTCTTATTACTGAACGCCGCACAAGATGCATTCTGGGTCTGGATCTGCAAAACAAAATGGGGATCATTACTACTCAAAAACCGGCACCCAGAGTAAGTTCGAGCTGTGACGTGCTACTGTGCGAGCAGTCGGAAGGTTGAAAAGAAATAATTTTATGAAAAATTTAAAAAATTTTTGACCGACAAGGAAAATCAAAAAACGATGTTGTAAATACAGAGTTTAAATGCCCTTTATTCCTAATACAAGAGAATGGTAGAAGGATACCGATCCAAATTCAAGAAAAAGTACCAACAGAACTTCACAAGCTTATAAAAGAAGGGCACATGCAACGCCTAGATATATGCACCAGTGATTACTTCATAGCCCCGGAAGTCACCAAAGTAAAAAAAAAATGATTCGAGAAAATTGGCATTGGATGCAAAACCAATTAACAGGAAACTGTTCAAGAATAAGTACCAGATGCCAATTGTTGATGAGCTTCTGGATGGAATAAGTGAAATAAAAACAGCGAAGCAAAAAAAACAATGTATTTCACAGTTCTGGACATAAAATACGCTTATAGCCAACTGAAACTAACTGCTGAGACAGCCAAGCAGTGCAATTTTAACATCGTATGTGGACATTTTTATTGTCTCAAGGTGATGAACAAGAACGTGAGAAATGAGTTGTGGAAGAACTCAAAAGATTCGATGATGACAATCTTGCTTTAGAGATTTCAAAATGTGAGTTTTTTAAAACTGAAGCACACTGGCTGGGACATAAATTATCACCAAGTGGAAATACACAAAAAAAAAAAACAGATACTAAAATTGAACCCGCCAAAATGCTTAAACAACTTCGATCATTTATGGGTAGCATTAACCATCTATCCAAATTCGTCTCAAACGCAGCAAGTTTGACGGATAAACTTAGACCACTCTACATGAAGAAAAAGCGTTGAGAAAATTGAAAAACATTAAGATACCTGTCAAGAAATTCGAATGGGGGAAGAACATTACAAGATCGAGGAAATCAAAAAAGAGGTAGAAAACATCGCCCAAATCAACTACTATATACCAACGAATAATACCCTTGTAAAATGCGATGCCAGCCATAGCGGCCTAGGCGCAACACTCCAACAAAAAGCGGGGGAGGGGAATTGGATGCCTATTGCATTTGCATCAGGCTACTTGATTTCCCAAGAAAAAAACTTGACCAACGCGTTGGAACTGCTCGCAGTTGTATCGTCAGTAGACCGATTTAAACACTAATTCTGGGGAAGGGAAATTATAATAGCCACCGATTACAAGGCATTAACGTCCACTTTAGACGAAAACTGGTTCATTGAAACGTACCAACCCAGACTCACTAGATGCGTGGATAGATTACTACTTTATCAGTTCAAAGTAGTATACATCCCAGGGAAAGATATGTTTATAGTAGATTATCTATCCAGAGAGCCACATGGATTTAGAATTGGAATAGAGGGTGTTTACAAAGCTCGCGACTGTTTAAGCAGTCGTCTTAACGATACAGGGGGGCTCGACCGGAACGAAATAGTTCTAAAACATTCAAAAGCCAAAACTAGCGATAACAAACGAAACGGAGTGCAAAACACGTCACCTCGCAGTTGCTATGGCAACCAACACGATCCTAAACGAACAAGGCTTGACCGGAACAAAAGCAATCAAAGCTCATGACTCTCAAAGTTGCAACGAGGCAGTTTGCACAATTATTCTTATTCAGTAGTTGTTAAAAAAAGTTCAGAAAAACTGTACAGAAAAAACCGAGAAAACGACAATGACAGAAACCAACCAGAAAAGGGAAAGGTGAAGAAGATAGTGGAAACAAGCGGTGAACGGGAACGAATGACTGAAGAAATTTCGTACATAACTTTTCAGCGCACGAAAATGATCAAAAGAGGGACGCCGAATCGATCGGACTCAGAAAACTCGGATTTGGATGAACCACAGATCGAGTGGAAAGCCATGGACCAATACATCAGGGCAAATGCCAA